ACACACACACACACACACACACACACACACACACACACACACACACACGAACAAAGATACAATCAAAGAAAAACCAACAAAAGTGGGTTTAACTTTGTGACCAAGTGGTAGTAATAAACATGCTAAGAAGAGGTAAAGATGGCTTTAGATTCTTCCATGTGGGTTGTCTTCAGAGGCCTGCAGTATAGTTTGGTGTAGCTGCCAAGTTCAGGTTGCTGTAGTGTCTGTTTCTTTCTCTCCTGCATGAGCTCAGTTGTCCTAGTGCACAGTATACTGGTGCCCATTTAAAGGAAGGAAAGTGGGAGGGGCGGAAGCAGAAGACTTCCTAAGACCTACAAGCAGGTGGTGAACTGTGAAAACAGTAGACCTGCGCACCACCCTGAAGGCTCTCCTGCCTCTCTCTTTACACCTCTATTACCTCCTAATGCCACAAGCCCCCTCCCCCTCCTGTCTACACTCTTACCTTGGATGTCTCATTGTGGGTGTTTGTCCTCGCCTCCCATTCCAGCTGTCCATCCAGTGCTTCCATTTTGAAGTGGAAAAGCATGTTGGGGCTGAACCGCCCCAAGCTGAGCCGCTTCCCTCCTCGCAGTGCCGGGCCTGCTCTCCGAAGTGGCCTCTGTGATGGCTAGCAGTGATGCCAGGGTGCGGGTACCCAGCAAGGTTACTTACTGCGGTTGCCCCTAATTCCTGCTCCTGTCACCTCCATCCCTTGTTGAGGATGTGGTGTCAATATATGAAACCCTCCTACTGCCTTCCATGGTGCAGTGGGGCCGACGCTGGCTTCCCTCTCTTGCCCAGATGATTCCAGAAGCCTCCTTCATGCTCTTGTCCTCCCACAATCTGTTTTCACCCAGCCAGCTCAGCTCATCCCCACCAGCTTAGTCCAGCTCCTTGGCAAAGTCCCCACGGTGACGAACGAGATTCTGGGTGACCTGAAGGTCTAGGTGACCTTCTGGGCACATTCCTGCCTCCCTCTGTTCCAGCCACTGGCCTCCATGGGCTCCTCGCAAATGCCAGGGACAGGCCTGTCTGATGCCCTTCAAAGTGACTGTGCCCTTGGCCTAGAATGCCTTCCCTTGTGGACATGGCTGTCAGATCCCTTACCACCCCCAACTTAAGTTCAAACCCCAGTGTCCCTTGAAGAAGCCCACTGTCATAGCCCAGTTTCTGTCTCTGTGATCAAAATCTTTGGGAGAAAAAAAATTAAACGAATAAAGATTCTGGGGTGTTTTCGTGTTTTCAGTTCATGGTTGTTCAGTTCCATGCACTGTGGTGGGGTCTCCACTGTGGACAGGAAGCCAAGAGAAGGAAACTGGAAGGGGTTTGGGGGTGAGGGAGACATAGCACAAGGACACACCCCCAGTGAGCTACTGCCTCTTTTCCACATCCTCGGTATGGTCACATTATGACTCCATCAGAGGATTAACCCTCCTGATCTGATGTCCCCGAAAGGCTGTCATGGACACTCTAGAGAGAGCTTCACTGGCTGGAGTTTATCAATCGGCTCCCGTTCACAAGATAACCCCACCAGCCCCGCCCCCTGCCTGGCTCTGGGTGATTCGCTTCACTGTGCTCCTGGTGACCTTTATCAGTACCTTGATCCAGGAGATCCAGATCTTTGAGTCATGCGCTCAGTAGGTGCTCAATGCGGATGTGACTGAAGGAAAAGAACCAACTCTCCCGGGTGAAAGGGTGTTTTCAAATAGCTGCTCGCTGGAGACTCCTGTGTCTCTTAGCAAAAGTTCAGCTGGGATTCCTGTCATCGAGGACCAACAGAGGCTGTTTACCTGTGTTTTTGCTAATGGTTTTAAAGGTACCAGTTGGACTTCCATCATATGTAAAGAGCGCGTTTGAAGCCTGGTGGGGTGGTGCACACCATTAATCCCAGCAGCACTCAGGAGGCAGAGGCAGGTGGAGCTCTGTGAGTTTGAGGCCAGCCTGGTCTACATTGTGAGCGCCAGCCAGCCAAGAGCTACATAGTGAGACTATCTCAAAACAAAAACAAAAGGAGTTTGACCCTTACAGCATATGTAAAAATTAACTTCAAATATGCCAAAGTCTACATGTTTCTTAGTTTGCTTTCTATTGCTGCAATAAAACACCAAAACCAAAAGCAGCCCTACTACACCTGCCTGCCATAAAACTGAACCTATTACCAGACTCCATCAAAACTAAAAACCTATGCCATGAAAGTCAAGATGTTGAAAAAAATATATAAAGGATGAAAGGTGTTGGCAAATTATCTGATAAGACGCTTTTTTCAAGAATAAGTAAAGAAACCAGGCATCGTGGCTTATGCTTTTAATCCCAGCACCCAGGAGGGAGAGGCAGGTGAATCTCTGAATTCAAGGCCAGCCTGGTCTACAGAAGGAGTTCCAGGATATCCTGGGTTATGTTTCAACCTCCCCCCACCCCGAAGAATACACAAAGAACATCTACAGCTCAGTAAAAAGAAATAGATACATTTGTATGGATGATCAACCAAGAAAGGATGTTCATGATCATCAGTCATTAGGGAACCCCAATGGGAAGCACTGGGAAGGAACCTGCAAACCTCAAGTGCCGCTAGTCATGAAGTCAGTGGCCCCAGCTACTTTGGGAAGTGATCTGAAAATGTCTCAGATGCGTAGTTTACGTACCTGAGGTTAAGCCAACAGGATTGAAAACATGTTCAAACGCTTCAACGTGAGTGTCCATGGCAGCATGTATCATCAACTCAAATGCCAATCCATTGAGGAACCAAATGAAGAATGGTCTCTGCAGAAAATAGAATGTTATTTAGCCATCAAAAGAAAGGAGGCATCAGTCCGTGCTGTAACATGGCTGGACCTTAAAACATGATTGGCTACAGGAGAATCCCTGGAGAGGGATGCTGATGTGAATACCCTGGACTGTTTATTAAACAATGGTCAAAGGGGCAATGCACATTAATGTTTTCCCACATTTCAAACCTATGTACAATAGAAGAAGCCAGATCCAAAGGCTACTTATGATCTGATTTGCATGACATGTCTAAAACAGGCCACTCACAGAGATAGGGGAAATTGGTGGGTGCTTGGGGCTGAGGGGGGAAGGGAGAAAAGAAGTAATTCCTGGTAGATAAGGGTTCCTGGGGGAGGGATATCATAAGAATGTTCTAGAATTTGTGGTGCCCGTTGTACTTCTTGTGAATATAGTTAAACCCACTGACACTCAGTTTAACAGTGTAGATTTTCTGCCATAGAAATAAAAATAAAATCACACAGTTCTATGCTAGATTTAAAAGCAAATTTCAATCCAGGACATTAGCAGAGGCTTCATGGTTTGTGTGTTTTGTGGGCAGGGGTGGGTGCTTAGGGAGAGGCAAAAGGTCCCTCGTGGCTGTCTTTCTCGGTCACTCTGACATATTCCTTGAGACAGGTCTCTCACTGAACCTGGTGCTCAGACTGAGCTGGACCGGCAGGCCATATGGCTCCAAGGATCTTGTGGCCTCCGCTTCTCCAGTGCTGGGCAGAGAGTGTCTTCAGAGATTCCGGTGCCTGCTCTGGCCTTCCCACGGTAACGCTCTTAGGCCAGATGCCTCAGTCACACACGAAGGGTTTTACAGTCAACTGTTGTGTGCTTAGCCTCCCCTTCAAAATGAAGGGCTGGTGGTGCTTGATGCTTCGGAGAGCTTCCAGGAAAAGGCCGGAGAGGTTCTGATTCCCCGTCGTCATTATTCCATTACAGCATGTCCTCATGTGGTCAGTGTTCCTTGCTGTTTCCCTCTCTTTACCAGTCTGACCTTTCAGGGAAATATGATTTAAAGTTGGACAGAACCCAGAGCTGATGCCAGCATGATGAAGGAGCCGTCCCTGCAAACACTGTGCTTCCACAGGCAGCCGAGCTAGGCTTCTCTGGATGCCCGTGGTTCCCTCCCTCTTCCAGACAGCGGTGTACGAGCCTGAGAGCAGGTGGCAAGTGCAGTTCCGGGGTGCTCCCTCAGCCCCAGTCAGAATCCATCCTGTCAGGCCCTTGGTGGTTTCTGTTCGGTGGTCCTTACCTTATCCCGGCTAACGATGGTACACCGCCTCTAAGTTTCCGGTGCTCCGATTGGAGTCTCTGCTTGACTTGTGGGGGAATGACGGTACGGATCTGGGTGGAGGCTGCCGCCAGCTCTCTGTGAACCTGTTTCTCTTCTGCCTGACCCTGTTGCTTCAGCGGACCCTCTGACGTGTAGCTCAGTGTGAGGTGTGTTGGTGACTGCCGTTTGCAGCACCGGGCCTTGCTGCAGAGCTGCGGGACTACATGCCCCACCCCTATGGTGCAAGGGTTTAACGCTGATGGAGACCCCTCTCTCTTTGAGCCTCACTCCAGAACCTTGCAAACATCTCCATAACACAGCTTTAGGGGAAGGGAAGCTCGACCGAGCCTTCTGGGGAAAGGGGGCCCAGTGGGGAGTGGAAGCAGCGAGAAAACACATAAAGCCGGTCTTTTACAGCAGGTCTTCAATGCTCCCCAGGGCTGTCTGCAGCCCCTCAGGACCACGCCTGGACACTTTCCCGAGGACGGCCCACGCCGTTGGCCTCCAGAGGGCGCGCGCGCACCGAGCGGAGCCCGAGGCGGGACTGGCGGACAGCTACAGATGGCTTGGGTGAAGGACACCTGGGAGAGGCAGGGAACCGCCACAGGGGGATAGCTTGGCCCTGGCAATCCCACCCTTCGATCCCGGCTGCAAAAAGAGAGCGTCCCCAAATGTCACACCTGAGTGTTGCCAGATGGGAGGGCGCGCTTGAGTGTTCCAGGTGGCGCCCTCCACATAGCTTGGGTGTCCTGGTCCTGATGGATTCATGTGCTTTTTCAGAGAAGGGAGAGAGATGAGAATATGGGCGCAGCCAGACCGTGCCTGTCCAGGGGTTCCCTGCGAGGTGCCAGCTTCCAGCGCCAGGCAGCACCTGATGGTTGCTGCTCTCCCTGCACACCCTGACTCTCACATGAACTCTATCCCATACGTGGGCTCAGCTGCCCTCCACCCCGCTGTGTCCTCATTCTCACCGCTTACTTAAAACCCTCATTTCCCCTGTCCTACTCACCACCTCCCAGCGCCTGGAGTTGAGCAGGCTCTAGGCCCACATCTGTAAAGGAATCTAAGGTAAACAAATAGGTTGACTCAACGGCAATGGAGGACTCAAGTAGCTGCAAGTCGGAATGACCCCCCACTCCACCACCTTCCCCCCACCCTGCCCCTGAGCTGGGTGAGCACCTGGGAATGTTCCCGAGAGTGACAGGAAGGAGGGTTCCCCTCTGCCGGTGGTCAGACCTCTGGCCCGTCAGCTCCCAAACCCAAGCCCAGGGGTGGCCTACATCCGTGTCAACCTTTCTCTTCCCAAAAATGCTTCTTTTTTTTCTGCTGTGTTTGTTTCAGTTTTGTTTTTGAGAATTTCTCAATTCTTCATGCTGCTTTCTGGCTTAGGCACTTTCTCTGTTGTGATTTTAAAACAAAACAAAACAAAACAAAAAACTCGACAAAAGCAATGTAAGGGAGAAAGAATACATTTTGGTTCGTGGTTTGAGGATATAATCCATCTTGCCAGGAAGGGCATCGCACCGGGAACTGGAGGCCCCTGGTCACATTACACCGCAGGAACAAAGCCGATGCTTGCTCCTCGCGCTCCTCAATGCTGGATTCCAAGCCATGGAGCAGTGCCTACAGTTAGGAAGGGTCTATACACTCTCCTCTGCCTGGTGAAGCAGAGACTTTTTAAGACCCCACAAGAGAGCTCAGGAATGCAGACCAGGGTGAGAAGGACTGGTTAATTCCAGGATCACCTCAGTCAGCCGTCTGTGGACACATTGCCTCTGCTTTGCAGCCAGTTTTCTCAGCCTAGGCAGGGTTTCCACCGTCCTGCTTTCCCCATTGCTCTCCACTAAGAAGGGACCTGTTTTTACACTTTTTCTCCAGCCCTTTTGGTGCCTCAACAACTGGAAACACATTCTAAGCCACGTGTCTTCAGCAGGTGGAGACAACCATGAGTGGTTTTGCTTCCCCGCTCCCTGCAGAAAGAGGAAAATAGCAAACAAAAGCTGACCCCCTCCCAGCTGTTGGTTGCTTATTTTCAGAGCCTAACTACCAGGTAGCTTCCTCCCAAGATGAAAAATTGTGTTGAGGTACAGCCTCCTCTGCTTACTTGCTGATGCAGTGTGTGTGTGTGTGTGTGTGTGTGTGTGTGTGTGTGTGTGTAATTAAGGCCATGTGGGCATTA